AAAGGGGGTGGGTGTTGAGTGGATGGGGCACAGGCAGACCAGCTGGGGTGCGGGAGCGTGCCTGTGCTCAGTGTGGGTGTAGTCACACGGGTGTTTACAGGGGTAAACATTAATTGGATATACACTTAAGACTTGTGCATTTTACTCGATGTAAGCTTTACCTCAGTAAGTCAGAAATCAGTAACAATTCTTAAAAGTTTTAAGAATTGTTACTGATTCTTAAGACAAGATTCAGCAAATTATGGCCCACAGGCCAGATGCAGCTTTCTGCGTGTTTTTTAATGACTCAGTCTGAGAAGCGTTTGTTTTTCTTAAGTGACTGGGAGAAAATCTAAAAAGGAATGATATTTCATTCCATGCAAATTATATGTAATTCACAATTATGTCAGTAAGTAAGGTTTTGTTGGAACAAAAACAACAAAATCCATGGTTTACAATGTAATTTCTTTGTTTCTCAGCTAATACCACTCGAATATTCCAAGGGACCAGAATTGTGAAAACAGGAGTGGTAAGTAGGGAATGTTTTGTAAGTCGCTGTTTTGTCCTGGATGTTAATTTGCATGCAGTTGAAACTGTCACCACGAGGTGGCAGTGTGGTGTTGTGAAACTGCTTCATGGGAAAAGGTGAAGATAGGGAAACACTATGTATAATTCAATCCATTAGGAAAACAAGCTGTGCAGCAGAGTTAAAGCAATAATGTTATACAGTATAATTTTTTGTCAAGGTGAAAAATTGTCCGGTTTTTAATTCTTTATTATCTGTAGGGTCATAGGATGTAGGATTGAACAGGTCAGCCAGCTCCAAGCCCTTGGTTGGACACACGCTGACATTCCCAGAGGTTGTCATTTGCCCAAAGCTATGTGGATTTTCAAATTTCCGGAGCCTCAATCAATACCTTTAAGTTTTCCCATTTCTAGTGCAACTAATAATCATAACAGTGATCGCATGGTTGATGATAACAACAATAGCCTAACACTTACTCAGCATTTCCTGGGTTTCAAGCACAGGTTATTTGATTATTTTACTTACTCCTCACAGCCTCCCACAAGATTGGTGTTACTGTTGTTCCCCTTTTATGGTTCAGGAAACCGAGGCTCCGTGGGCTGTGGTGATGTGCCCAGCATCACCCGGAGAGCGCCAGGGGACTTCCCTCAGCGGGCCTGCCTGACTTCATTGACTGAGTGCCCCCTTGTGTGTGGCATCGGGCATTTCATGAACCAACCTAAGAACTCTACATTTGCTAACTCGATCCTCTTTGAACTACAGAGTTTTTTAATTAAAACCTCGCAATAAAACGATAAAATCTAAGGTGTCCTGGCATATTGTTTTGAACGGATTTCTGGCTGTCAGAACCAACATTAAGCTCAGAACTCCATGGCCCTGGCTGTTTCCCCAGCTCCCGCCCTCAGTGCAGCCCCATCTTTGAGCACCAGGCTAGCCCGGTGGGGAGAGTGAGCTGCGGTTTGGACACAGGCTGCCCTTGACATCTCTGTGCCTCAGTTTCCTCCTCTGTAAAATGGGTGATGACCATCCCAGATGGTGTGGGAAGCCCCGGCATGTTGCTGGCAGCTGTTAAGTGGAGCAGTGATCCACTTGTGCCACACACAAGGGGGCACTCAATCAATGAAGTCAGGCAGGCCCGCTGAGGGAAGTCCCCTGGCGCTCTCCGGGTGATGCTGGGCACATCACCACAGCCCACGGAGCCTTGGTTTCCTGAACCATAAAAGGGGAACAACAGTAACACCAATCTTGTGGGAGGCTGTGAGGAGTAAGTAAAATAATAAAATAACCTGTGCTGTCATGTCCGTGGGCAAAGGTTTTGCCTGGATAAGCCCAGAGACTCTGAAGGGTGCAGGACGTGGGGTGCGAGCTGTGAACAGGTCCCAGAGCCTGCAGGGTGGCCCGCCCCGCAGGCATGGACAGGACACTCCCCTGTCCCTCTACCTCCTCCCTGTCAGATGGCGGGACCCGATCCAGGAGGGCCTTCTGGACCCAAAAGCCAGGTCTTGTCCACAAGCGCCAGAGACATAAGAAAGCGAGGCCTCCCGCCGCGTCCAGGGCCACCCAAGCGCAGCTGACCAGTTGGCGTTGCCAGCTGACCACTCGTTTGATATTTGTCTTTGGGCCTAATTTAATGCTACTCACTTTTGGGCCACTGAGCTCCTCCTGAGCAATAGCAGTGAAAGTGGGGCTTGATCTATGTGCGAAGGGACTAAAAACCATTAAAGCGGAGGTGGCCGTCCATGGTCACCTGAGTCAGCTTTGGCGCCGAGCTTCGGGAAAGCCCACGCGTAAAACAAAAACCTGCAAAACCCTCTGCGGGTCATAACCAGGACCTCCCTCCCAGCCTAATGACCGACGCTTCTCTGCTTTCTCCTCTTTGTTCCTCCCTGGTGGCCCTTTCAAGCCCACGGCGTCTCCTGCCTCTTCGGCCGACATGGCCCCCATCAGCTCGGGGTCTTCGACCTGGACATCCTCCGGCATCCCCTTCTCATTTGTTTCCATGGCGACCGGGATGGGCCCATCCTCCAGCGGCAGCCAGGCGACGGTGGCCTCGGTGGTCACCAGCACGCTCCTGGCCGGCCTGGGCTTCGGCGGCGGCGGCATCT